GGCTTTATTCTCGACCCATTTTCTTCATTTCTGTCATTATTCTTTGCCTGCACAGATTATTTTGAACATCATTGGGCGTAGTTTTTCCCTTTGTGATAGTGTCATTACGTGTTGCCCAACTTTCTTATCGATTTTCAAAGGAAATGCCATAGATAGAATGTGTCTTGTTTCCTCTCATTCTGTCCATTTAGAGCAATCTTATCCTATATCATATGTTTGTGGGAAATGGAGACTCTACCCTTATTTCTGTCTATGTCTGTTTTCTTTTCCAGCTTCATGAATTTCACTATTGGGTGTAATTTTTTTTCTCTTTCTCTCTTTCTCTCTCTCTTTCTCTCTCTCCTCTTCCTTTTTCTTGATGTTTCACAAAATTCATATTATATTTGGTAATTGTAATTGTTAATATTTCACATATCCAGTAAACTGATTCATTTTGCTTTTTATGCTATGGTTGTTTGCTTGCATTTATATATTTAAAAACAGAAAATTAGAAACTGACAAAATGCAATGGCTACTAGGATCTGGAGAAGGGATGACTATGTACAGTATAATTGTTTCTTTGGTTAATCTTTACGGTATTGAAGTACTAAGCTAGGATATTCTTGCAGAGGACAAAGTTATAGTTGTTGGTACAAGAAGTAATCTGCAGACGAAATTGGTAATGTCACAGATAAAGGAAAAAAGCATGTCCAGTCTTGGCAATTTAGGTTATTGAATAAAGTTTGCAACATTGAATAGATTTAGTCTCTGGCGAGTGCATCAGTGCTGTAAAGATATACCAGGTCTTTCTGATTATATTTTTCTTTTGTTCCAGGTGTAATTTTACAGTATGGATGCACTCATCATAAATATTTGCCCTTTCCTCTGTATTTGATGTCATGGTGATGGATTATCAAATTTATTACTTAGTTAGAAAAGACAGAAGATTGATTGAACATGATCAGAATTCTTGCATCCCACAAGTCATGGAGCCAAAGCTATTTAGATGTGCAACCCATTAGGTAACATGCAACTGGAAGGGGTATCCTGTGAATAGTTTTTAAGAGATTTCAGCACTTTTGACATATGAGGATAGTGTTTTGGTGATCTTATTATCCTTAAGGGCTTGGCTATAAGCCTAGGTCTAACAGCTGAACCACATGAATCAGATTAGTAATATGCTTTAAATTTCACTTTTGTAAAGTAGAGAATTTCAACTTTTGGGTAAGAAATGTTTGATTTCATCACCTGCTTTTACATTTTATCCCATTGCAGAGACATTTTACAAAAAAAAATTAAACGATCACAGCATTTTCCCCATCTGTGTTTGGTTAATGATAGACTATTATATTTTTGCATAGTTTTTTTTTATGACTTAATAATTAAAAGATGATGTTTTTTTCAGTTTGTTACAGTTTGCTTGTTTCTTTTTATCAATCAATGTATTAATTATATTTAACATTGGAGGTACTTGTTATTTTATCTTTGCCAATAGACCTATATAGGTTACTGGTAGTGATGTATTCATATACATTACTTCTAGGTCTTTTCTGGATGTCATTTTGTATCTTAACTGAAGCCTGCTCAATATTTCCTCCATCTAATGTGTATACACTTTTCACTACCTCTGTCCCTCTTGCATTTTCTGTTGATGTGAATAATCAGTTGCGCGCTAACTCTTGCCATGTTTTGCACAGGCTGCAGCACCAGGGGTTCCACCACAACAATACCAACAGGCTCCTACAGTGCCACCACCACAGCAACAGCAATACCAACAGCAACAACAACAACAGCAGCAGCAGCAGTACCAGCAGCCACCACAGCAACAACAGCAATATCAACAACCACCACAGCAACAACAGCAACAACAATTCCAACAACAACAACCACCACAGCAGCAGCAGTATCAGGTAAACTACCCAAAATTCAGGGAATTGTCTCGTTATTCTTTTGATTCTTGGGGGTTATGACTTCTACAGTTTACCTTTTATTCTCACCATAAGTGTTGACCAGAATTCTCTTTTTTTTTCTTATAATATATAGTGAAAGTTTTTCATTTATAGGTAGATGAAATATACAGCTATCTTCGGTATATACAAAAGGCCATATTTTTTTAGCTACAGAAAGCTGTTATTATAGTTTAATTTACAAGTATAAGGGCTCAAGCAATGCAGAAATTATATTGTCAATTTACTACAATTTTCCAAACATATATGAAGGAAACCTGAATATTTACAATCTTGTATGGATAAATCTGATGCGGCAGATAACTTTCCGCAAGTTCTACGGGGGGAATGCATGGAGGCCAAAAATTCTCACAGGGAACATATTTCATATTAGCCGGAAGTTCCATTTTTGGCTTTATTTTGGGGAGACCGTTCCTTTAACCCAATGCTGCTGGAAATGTGTGATAACCACTGTAGTAGTATTTTGCGAAATGTATCTACACAAAGATGGCTTCAGAAATCTTCAGTAACTAATGAGTCCATTCTTAGTCTCCATTACCTCTTCTGATTTCTCTCTTCTTTGAGTCTTTGGAGGAAAAGCATTTTCAAATGCTTTTAATAATGATTAGTATTAATAACAATAATAATAGTAATAAGAAATTGAATTTGGTATTTCTGAAAATAAAGGGTAAACAGGTGAGATAAGATTAGTAATTGACTTGGTGACTAAGCACTTGTGGAACCACCCATGTGTAAATATAATTAATAAACTAAACTCATTTTAGCCATGGGATGTAAGTAAATGCATCCTTGGTGGCAATTGGTTGTGGTGTTTTGGGAAAAATATATTGTTAGTGATAAACTAGCCAGTGATAAGGATTTAACCTTTTTTATTTCTCTTAACCTGCTGATGAATGGAATTTCCTTCATCCACTAGATTGTGAATGTTGCTAGATAAAACTTGAGGGTTTTGAAGAATACCTAGAAAAAGTATAGACTATATGTCTTGCTCTCATAGTATGGTGGGAAGAGAAAATGCAAAAAGTTTTTTTTCAATCCTTACTACTATTACTATATTTTGACAATAGAGAGAAAGATCATAAGGAGAAAGGATATATTTAGAGTGATAACTTCTAGAGTTTTTGCCTGGAGAATAGGATATGGTCATTTATAAACCTAATGTAGGAAGGTAGGTCAGATAGTTTATGATTATACCTTTGGCAATCCTAATGCCATGGTTACAGTTCACAGGATATGAGGATGACAATTTGCCTGTGATACAATAAGATTTTATTGCTAAACATCTGTGTTAGAACATGGACAACATGCTTTATGCCTGGTGTTAAGGTTAGAGTAGGGAGGTGGTTGATGTTATGTTATGTTTCTGTACAGTTACCCATGGTTTTTGTAATCTTACTGGGAATGGAAAAGGATATAATCAAGTTTATCTACAAGTGGCAGTATCTGTTGCTTGTTTAACTGATATACATAGTATAAGTAATATAGATGTATATATGTATTTTATTTTACCTCTGCTCTTCTATTAATATCACTAGTGGAAATATTCAGATCTGTAAATGTGACATGAATGGAAAAGACTGCATTTATATAGTAGTCTGAATGGTGTAACTTTCTGTCCAGTCATCTCTTTGTTGAAGCATGACAGTTCGTTTGTATTACAAATGATTTGCATAACAGAAGGGAGCTTTGTGTATTCCTTGTTCAGTATAATCTCTCTTGGTTAACCTGCTACAGAGAATCAAGAAATAACACAAAATAAAAGTTTATATAAATTCAGGAGTGAAATACAACAATATGATTCTAGATGAAAAATGGTTTTAGAGGGAACATGAGGTATATTTTTTGAGATAGTGTACCTTCACAGATAGTTTTGACAAAAATGATGATAAATTCTGAATTCTGTAACCATCTGTATTAATCAGTTTAGGAATGTGCTACTACAGCATGGAAATTTATTGTCTAGATTTTTCTGAAGCAGGAAGGAACCGAGTTGGAAAAATCAAAATCAGGTTATGACTGATTTTGAGTTGATCAGTGTCGTAAGGATGTGAATATTTGAGTCCATTGTGCAAAGAAAATACTCTTAGAGCGGTGAAACTTTTGAGTAGTCAAATATTTGCGAGCCCATTATACCATAAGCTTATTATACCTCTTAAAACCCTGCTGTTATGACATTATCAATTGAAATAGGTAATTCAGAACAACATAAAGGATACCAATTTTAAAGGATTTCCTTCGGTCTGAATGATTCATAATGATTTATAGGGAAGGAGGTTGAAAAAATTAAAAACTTAATATGTAAGAAGTTATTTGTCTGTAAAAGTGGTAAATGTAGGCTTATGATTTTATTCTCATGATAATTATATGTTTCAGTTTAATTGCGAATGTCTGAGCAGTTATGGGTACATGTCTTTTGTCAGTCAAACCAGCTCTTATCTGTGTATGAATAATGGCATTTTAAAGATAAAAGGAACAGTTATTTACATTGTTTAAATGTCTGTGGTGCGGAAAGGGAAATATTGAAATTTTCTCGGCTGTAAGCTCTCTTTAATCTCTGAAGCAATTTCAAAGTTTATACATTAAAACAGCCAATGTATTTGTATTGGAAATATTCTCTCTCCCTCTCTCCCTCTCTTATTTTAAATTGGCACTTTAAAATATTTGGGGGTAAAATAATAAACAGTAGGAACACAGACAATATAAAAAAGATTAAGAAAACCTGATGGAAGAGGTAACAGTTTCTAATATGATTTTATTGATGAGGGGCATATATTCTTGCCAGGAGACAGAAATAGGCTTAAAGTATCTTTATAATTTTATACTGAAAAAGTCATAAATGCCTATGCCAAACACATTGGCATTGGTAAAAACCATTGTCATGAGTTAACTTGTTAACATATGTTTTTTTGCATGTATATGTGCCTACATGTGTGCAGGTCTTATGTATGTATAGATTTGAGTGGATGCAGAAATCCTAAATCCATACTTGTATTTTTATAGACATGTTAATAGCATGCTCTTAAATTCATATAATCTTTGGAAAGAACAGCTTACTGGTCAGTAGTTCAGGGAAGCAGTCTTGCATAGCATCCTGTTTAGTCACCCAACATATGTTTCTCATATTGGTTTATGTGTAATAGACCTTGTAGGGGCAGTCAGTTTAAACATTGATGGGACTATCATTTTTACTGTTAATGTCACTATTATTATCATTATTTTATATTGGCCATCAATCCTCTTGTCACTGTCATCATTATCAGTATCATCATCATCAATGGACTTGACTAATGAAAAGTAACCTCAAGGAACAAACATTTGCTCAGCTTCATGCCCTCTTCGTTTTTTGCGGACATAGCTAGTAGATAATTTATCAATGAACTCTCCCTCCCCTTGTGTGCTGTGTGGTGCAGCGGTAGCATTCTCGTCTAGCGATCTTGCTGACCTGCGTTCGAATCCCTCGCCACCAGTGGATGGTAACCCTGGCCATTCCTTGCACACAGGGGATAATTTAGAAGCAAAATAAAACACAGTATGTCACACCAAGAATATCCATTGTAACAAATGGAATCAAACTAAATTATTATTATTATTATTCACAGCAGCCGCAGCAGGCAGCTCAGGGCCACCAGCCACACCAGAACCAGCGCGTGCTGCACAACCCTAACTTGGGCAAGGAGCGCGATCACATCAAGGAGCATCTAGAGGTGCCCATTGACACAGCAGGCATGTCTGAGCAGGAGCTGCAGTACCACTATTTCAAGATGCATGACGCTGACAACAACAACAAGCTTGACGGGCAGGAGCTGATCAAGTCGCTCTTCCATTGGCACGACTCGGCCAACCACGACCCAAGCAAGTCCTCCAGCCACCCCGAGGCCAAGCTCTTCACTGACGACGAGCTTGTAGCCATGATTGATCCTATTCTTGAACAGGACGACCGCAATCGGGATGGATACATCGACTACCCAGAGTTCGTGCAGGCGCAGCGTAATGCAGCGGCTGCATCTGCCTCAGCAGGAACTAATAATGTGTAATTTATTAGAGGGTACTTTTTATTTTTTCTTTCTTTCTCTCCTTTTCTTTTCTTTTTCTTATTCTAAAGTCATTGATGATCATGACAGAATGAAGATTCTCTTTCTTTCTTTCTTTCTTTTTTTTTTTAAGTGCAAACAATGCTGTGGGGACATCATTCAGATGGAAAAGCTTCAACAAGGGTAATTGTGCTTCCAATATTTTTCTTTTTCAGTTAACTTGTTGAAACCAAGGGCGTGTGTACCAGACTTCACAAGTGCATAGTCACCAAGAAGTCAATTAGAAGGCCCACTAGATATTATTATTTATGCTATTCCTTCAACTTTTGGAAATGAAATGGGATAAACTGTAAGGTTATGTAGGCCTAGTAATTAACTTCTTGATGACTAAATGTTGGGAAAGCTATATACCTATAAACAATATTGGCAAAACAGTGTTAATCGTGCTTCATGGTAAATGTTTTTTAGATGGCAGTATATATATTTTTTTATTCAGATAGGTATTGGATGAAAATCTTAAAAGAAAAAGAAAAAAAAAGTGTGTGCAAATTTTACCATATAGAATTGATCATGAATGGTGCCAATAAAGTGCAAGACATAGACAAGAAAATGAATTATATCTACAACTTTATTTATATAACTTTATTATTCATGTCAATTTTTGTAGAGATAGGAAGCGCATAGTGAATCATTTATTTCTCAGATGATATTTGTACTGTTTTTCTCTTTATTATGGTTTTTAGTTCTTTTACGTCTTTCTTTTATTTTTGGAAAATAGAAAGTTGATGCACAAATGACTGAGTAAAAAAGACATGACATTACCGATTTTAATTAAATGACACAAAAAAGTGAGTAATGAGTGATTTGGTCCTTGGTAATACTGCTCAAGGTAACCAGAAGAACTCTCTTATCTAACGTGTAAATAAACGTATTATCTTTTTATGTGATGGAATGTAATTTTCTCAGTTTTTAGAAATGTGGGGTTAATCTCTTAGTGATCATCAGGGTTAACTTTTATATCAGATATACAGATATGGTATCCATAGGTAAAGTCTGCTAGAGAAATGACATGGCATGTTTTGTCATGGAAGAGTACTCAGCCCTACAAAAGGTATTATAATTTACAATAAATAAAATGTATATTTATGAAATATTTCTCTCCTCAGACTGAAGGTTTTTTGTTAATGCAGAGTATTACTGTTGTTATTATTACTACTATTAGTGCTGTTATTGTTTTTATATTATTATTATTATTATTATTATTATCAAATGTTTTTTATGTTACAATTAGATTCTGTTTCTTTATTTTTTTCTCTGATTGTAATATTTTGTCCTTATCCTTGGATACATTGTCACAATTTGTCATTGTTTTAACTTTCACAAAAGAATTAATTTGGAATCTCAAATATATGGGTGATTTTATGTATTTCGTCGTAAAACTTAAGTATTTTTTTTCATCTTTTTCAGTGGTTATGGATTTCCATTTTTATATGACAATAAGTTAATAAAATATATTGGTTAAATTTCCTTTTTTGCTTTCCATATGATATTTGGTTGTGCATCGTTTGATCAGAACATTTGTGCTGTTGAATATTTTGGAATTTATAGTACCTTATATATATACATATGATCATCATTAGATTAACCGTTTACCAGACAAAACTTGAAGCCATAGAACAAATGTAAAACAGTGTTTGAAATAAAAATGATTTTTTTCTAAGATACATTTATTCTCAAACATTTTTCCAAATTTATTACAATGAATCTCCCAGAGTTATTTATGTCTGCTTGCCCAAATAATAAGTTTCAGTGCATGTATCTTTGGCTGTTTGGCAATTTCATGAATACTTGTATTGGTTACTTTAAAACCATCTGGTCTGTGTATGATCCTTCTGCTATGGCTAAATTTGTGCTTGTCCATTTGAGGAAGAATGTTATATGTTATACAACTTGCAGTCTCTGAACAGCAAATTTAGTAGTCTTGTCAGATTTTTTTTATCATATTTGACTAATCTGGAGAGCAATGAGAGATTACAACCCAAGGATGTTAGATGACTGAACCAATTAAAGTGTTCATCTGGGATTCAATACTAAAAGTTACAATATTGAGATTTTTTATAGATACAAAGCCTTACATGTCTAAGTGAAAAAAAAGATTGACTATATAAGTCTTTCAAACAAAGCCCTTTTTAAATGATGCTGTGGTTCATGCTATTTTATACATGGAATAAATATTATAGTGATGTGATAGCTTTTATAAAAACAAAACATCATGCATCTCAGCGCCCCCCCCCCCCCTCCCACACTCCTAATATCTTGTCCTGGGAGGGCATTAGAAGACAGGGACTGAGACCCAATGTAGGTGATCACCCCTACCTTGGTCCTCAGCCTACACTCCCAACTAATTTTGTCTTTTGTTGTTTCTTTTCCCCATTTCCTTTTCCTTCTCTTGATATCCTTCTCCTGTCTACTTATCCTAATTGTTAACTCATTTTCACCCTTTTCGCCACAATACTTTATCATATTGGAATGTGACCTTTGATGCCTATAAATGTATTTGTTTTGACCATTAACCATTCTCGAAATCCACAAAAACTTTCTATCTGGAAGTTTTGCCCCTAAGCCCTACCGCATTCCTAAATTTGGAATATACTACTAGTGACCTTATTTGACACAGCAGGAGATTTTCAATAAATAAATATTTCAGTGAATTATGGATAACTACTACATATCTTTGATGATTTACAAAGGATTTTATAGCAAGGCAACACATATTTTGTATGGTAAGCATGGAACAATTCCTCCTGTCAAAATAATAATGCAACTTTACAAATGATGCAGAGGATACTGCTTCACCGTTCACAGCTTTTTATAGCACAGCGCTTATCACTGACTTTTGATAATGAAGCTGCTTTCCAGTACTGAAACTAACATTGCCCTCAGGCCTACCTGTTCTTTCCTTTATGCTAAAAGTTCCTAGGAAAGGAAAGGAGCCGAGACAGAAGACTATAGAAAATTAAACTTGTAGGACGAAACTTTAGCTTTTTTTGCAAACTTTTCATGCAATTGTTAAGAGAATAATAAATATAATTCAATAAAATCCTGCTTTTTCCCATGGGCTTGCATCTCCCCCCAAGGTTAAGTAACATTGCCATAAACGTTTAGACAAGAATTTGAAGTCAGGAATTTGAACAGGCCGGAGAGCTCGGCTGACTCCGCCCACTATTGGTCTGACGAGAACCCTTCATTTGGTCCTGTACAACTCGCTTGCGATTCTTGTGACTGGAACTGAGGTTCTTATGCTTTATGAGAACTTTGACGGATGGTATTTGGTATTACAATAATTCTCACGAGTGTTTAAACAAATTGAAGCAATATTTCGATAAACTCAATGTGAACAATTCTCCATGTAGCGTCAACTACAATATATATGTTTTCAGGCATCCATCTACATAAATGAAGTGCTAAGAGGAAAATAAGTAAGAACATATTTTTCACAGGTCAGCTGTAAGGAAACTTATTAGCTGCTGAAATGGTTGACGCTGGACAGAAAGGTTGGAGACCGCCGCTTGACCATTAGACTTCAATCTGCTATAATTTATTTTACCAACGATATACTTACTATTAAATCTGTCACACATTTTTTTAGCCTCCGGGATAGTACAGTGCTAAAGTGTCGGCCTCTCATCCGAGGGGTTGGCGGATAGCCCCCTCAGGCGAGATAAGGTGTAATTGTCCGGAGTTTACTGCTGAGGCTGGACACCGCGGCGGGTAAGGACTAAGCTCAGTCGAGTCCGGGACTAAGCTCAGCCCGGGACACGTCGGGTTCCCTTCATAGGAATAACCCGGGCAAAGTTCAGCTTCGCATATCTGGCTTATCCTTATCGTTTGCCCGGTAGAGGGTTAAAAAGTAAATACTTGTGTTTCTAATATGTAACATTAATTTGTTTATATATTAGAATTAGCATGATTCTGTCATATGTATGAGAGAGAGATTATATGCTCTGCTCTTTTCAGTGAGCAATTTAAAAGCATTCTGTTCTAGGAACACACTTAACATATTTTGAACTGATATCATGACTGTGTCTATCGTCGTTTTTTCAAAGCTGAACCATAGGCAGAGATCATTAATCATAATTTATTGTAAAGCAAAAATATAGTACAGATTAAATACTGCAAGATAAAACACGCAGTATAAATCAAACAACCTTCCCCCCCCCCCACACACCAAAGTACAACAGATTATAGAAACGTTTTTTGATAGCTTAGTACTTCTTATTGTATTTCAGTATACAGCAAGGTGAATAATCAGTCTGGTAAAAAATGAATAAATAAATAGATAAATAAATAAAAAACAATAAACAAAGTCTATAAGGCAAGAAAAAGAGAAATGTAACTCTCTATATGGCCTTTTAAGGAGTTGGATGAAATATTCAGGAAAGCCTATAGTTGAAACGTATGATTCATAAAACTAATATTAAGGACCCCTGAGCCTCTTTTTTGTCCCTGAAACTATTTTTTTTGTTGCGACAGAATTTATCATCACATAAACATGCAAATTTCAATAAAGACTCTTCCTACCAAGAGATTTAGGGAACCCAGGATTGAAAGTATCCAAGCAGTTATTCAGACACTCTTCAGCTCTACTAAGATTGCAGTTATCCCACACAGTTCGATCTACTCTATTATTTTATGACAAAATTACTGCCGTTATAAGATGTAAATCTCTCTCATTTACATACTCAAGCACAGATTTACTTTACAGGAAGCGTCGGTGGATGTAAGACCCCGTTTTAATATTCCAATTAAGAGGAATTTATGGAAGGGATATATAGGTTTACTTCTCCATTTAGTACTGAAGATACACTTCTATGAAGTGGAGATATAGAACATTATTTAAGTTTTATTTACCCGAGCTCTTGCTAACAATTCCGTTTCCTTTCATTTCATAAGGAAATCGAACTTTGAGGGGTAAACTAGTCTATTTTAGATGAAACGTTTTATTTAACAGGTGTTGATTTTGCTATTTCTTTTCTTTATTATTTCGGTGTGTATTTTCGCGAGACAAAAACCAATTTCCTTTCATTTCATAAGGAAATCGAACTTTGAGGGGGATACTAGTCTATTTCAGATGAAACGTTTTATTTAACAGGTGTTGATTTTGCAATTTCTTTTCTTTTTTATTTCTGTGTGTATTTTTGCGAGAAAAAAAAAAACATATTTTTTTCATAGGCATACTAGTCCTAGGTTTATAAAGTGACTTATTTTATCATTGTCCAAGACAAGAGTATAGGTTGCAAGTGCTTTTCTTAGGCTGGCGTGATATCATTTCCTGTTGCAGAGTGTATTTTGCAGCTTGTTTCTTTAGTTTCATAATTGGATCTAATATTTCATAGTGTATATAGATGAATGAATATTATTACTATTATCGTTGTTGTTATTATTATCATTATTATTATTATTATTATTATTATTATTATTATTATTATTATTATTATTATTATTATTATTATGATGATGATGATGATGATGATGATGATGATGACATACACAAACACACACACATGTGTATGTATAGATGTACACACACACACACACACACACACACACACACACACACACACACACACACACACACACACACACACACACACACACACACACGTATTTATATATATATATTTTTTTTTCTTTCTTTTTTTTTTTCTTTTTTTTTGGCACCGGGGGAGGGGCGGGGGGTTCTGTCTCCGCAGTCACGAGCGAGCGAAAGAAAGCGCTTGTTGACTTTAAGCAAGAGGTGATTAAGTGGGTCTCGGGCTTCGATCGAATCATCTGCAATGCAAATGCCTTGCCGATCTGCAAGGCGAGAAAATGCAAATGGCTCCTTCGTCTTGCTAAATGGCCCATTCCGCTGTCCTCACTCGCGCCATTAGTATTTTGCATATTTTTGGTATCTTCATTAACCTGTTATGGTTATATTGTTAACAGTCGTTTTTCTTCTACCGCAGAGATGAGGAAGGGAGAACGAAAGGAAAGGAAGGGAGGCGTTATTGTGACCTTCCAGAGCGAAGGAAAAAAATCGTGAATTTTCCCAAGAGTCGATCTTGCATTCTCTCTCTCTCTCTATATATATATATATACTATACACACACATACCGGTCAAATACATCTCTTTCTCTTTCTTACCTTTTCCACATTTGTCAACATGAATGCGGTTCATTTATATATATATATATATATATATATATATATATATATATATATATATATATATATACGTATATATATTTATATATATATGTATATATATATATTTATATATATATATATGTGTGTGTGTGTGTGTATACACACACACACATACGCACACCGCACACACACACACACACACACACACACACACACACACACACACACACACACACACACACACACACACACACACACACACACACATACACACACACACACACACACACACACACACACACACACACACACACACACACACACACACACACAC